ATGGTGATCATAGAAAAAGAGCTGTTTGCGCAACCATTTTGTAAAAATTGCCAAAAATCGGATATTTAATATTTTACAGTGAGACCAGTTGGGTTTGAAAGTTAACTCATGGAACTATCCAATACAAAACGAATATCATGATTTGGTTAAGTAATGACCGAGATATGGTCGTTCAAAGCTGAATAAAGTAATCTGGCAGATTGCATGTTTGCTTTGAGTGCATCCTTAGGACATTTTGACAAGAACATCATGCATGCCTTTGATAAGGTCCGATTTCTAGCACATGCATGGAGTGAATGAGCATCCAAGATGTACTAGAAATGGTTTTAAATGATTTTGACCATGCAAGAACACAAAAGAAATGGAGAAGAAGATGTAATACTTGTTTTTGAAGTCACATGAACATATGTGCATCATTTTCACTCCTTGCATGGGTTTGATCCCGGATTTTCACCATTTCAAACACATGCATTGTGTTATGGTGAGAATCTACAAACCACAAGGGGAAAATAAAGATTTCTAGCCATGGAAAGGCATAGAATCCGAAAAGAAGAGAAAACTAAGAAGAAAAGGAAGTAGAATCATGAAACTATGGAAGAAGATGTTGTTGTTTACCTTGGTTTTGATCTTGAGGGAAGTAAGAACACTTCAAGTTCTTCTAAATCTCGAAATTTGGCAGAGGAATGGGGAGAATTTCGTGAGTTAGAGAGAGAGAGGAAGAGAGTTTGTGTGTGTTAGGAGGGTGGAGTGTGAGAGAGTGAAGAGAGAAGAGGTAGAGTGAGGGAGAAGTTCTAATGATTGAGTTTTGGGAAGAGGGAGCATGGGGAGAGGGGAGATGGCCGGTTTTTGAGTGGGTTAGGAGTCCTCTCTCTCCAAAAATTCAAATTAATAATTTCCTCTTCATTTTTTTATAAAAATCTAATTTTTATAAAAGTGATTCTTTAAGCAATTTGATTTATTTAAAAGTCTTGTTTTTAACTAATTAATTATGATTAATGCATGATAAATTATATTTCTATTTCATTGGTATAATCCATAATTTGATTAATAAACATTTGATATTAGGAAGTTTATAGCAAAATTTTATAAAGTTTTTAAGCTTTATGATTTATAAATTTGGATTTTTAGCTCTTTTAGGGTTTTTGGAATATTGTTTGATATTCA